ACATTCCATCAGCCACCGCAAGCAGAAAGAAGGGGGCCTGAATTATTGGCTGCTCTCCCGGAGTTGGGTCTCCCCTGCTCTGCCCTTGCTGCCCGTTAGTCTGAACGATCCATCCAAAGCACAGATCCAGACACGCCATCGTCTCCCTGCGTAGGGCCCTCTGAAGCTCCCTACAGCTCTGGGCTAGAGCCAGGTTCCTCGCGTGGTGGGGAGCCGCCCTTTGGGATCTGAGCCACCGCATTTGCTGGGTGAGGTTTCTGTGCTCACCAGCAAGGCTGCCGTGAACGCCCTTGAACTTGTATCTTTGCACACAAGTGTGCTGCTACCTGTGGGATAAATTCTGAAAGGAGGACTTGTTGAATATAATATCTGTGCCTTTACAGTTTGCAGATACTGCGAAGTTGTCTTAACAAAAGGTGGCACCAAAAATGTGTACAAAAGTGCCTGTTTCTCCTGGCCTCTGGCCCATGAACACCCCCTAAATCAGCGATCGCCAACCGGTGGGCCACGGACCACTGGTGGTCCCTGAGGTCTGAAAGGTTGGCGACCACTGCCCTAAATAACACCCTCACACACACACCCCACACTCACCACACTCACACACACACACACACTCATACACACTCTCACACACACACACACACACACTCACTCATACACACACACACACACACTCACACACACACACACACACACTCACACACACACCCACACACACACACACACCCCTCTCTCTATACACGCTTTGTTCTGGCTGATGAGCTTTGTCGCTTTTTGCTGGGAGCTTTCCTGGTGTTGAATAAACACTTTGATAACAAACTTCCCCTGTGGCTGAAGCTTCCTCCTGGCTTGTCTGGCATTTTCTCCAAACACCCTGCTCCCTGTCAGCCACTGTCCTTCCCCTCCCCCTGCCCCCTCCCCCCCATTGGCCATTGTTCAGCCTCCATGCTGACCTAGAAAAGCCAGGTGAGTCACCCCACACCCCACTCCCTGACCCTCCAGAGGAGCCAGAGGAGCCTTGGGGGCTGAGACCTCAAGGGGGAGCTGGCACAGCCGGTCCTGCAGGACATCTGGTCGCACTCCTGGGATCACCCAGCAGCAGGCAGGGGCCACAGCTCCTCAGGGCCACTGGCAGGTAAGTGGTGAGGGCTGTGAGGAGATGCCCTCCTGCTTTGAGTGGGGGGTGAGACCCTGGGTGTGGATTGGGGCCACCTTCCTGGCATTTTTGTCCTGTGAGGCAGGAGACGTGTGTGTCTGACAAACACACCTGTGACCTAGTGATAGCCCCCTGAGAGGCATCGTCCCCATCTTAGCAGCCCGCTGAGTGCCTGCCCAGTGCTGAGTGCTTCCCATGTGTTCTCTTACTTGCTCTTCATCACAGCCTCTGTAGTGGGTCGCAGTCACATTTTCAGATGAGGAAACTTAGGGTATTGCGGTTAAGTCACTGGCCCCGAGTCGCAGAGCCTGGAAGTGGCCTATTTTCCGGACTCTTAACTGAGACGCGTTTCCCGGATCCACACAATATCCCGGGCTCTTCCTGGACTGGAACCGTGCAGCTTCCCGTTGCGCTGTTGATGTTTGCAAAGATATGAGGAAACTCAGAACAATAGTGTGTGTGTCTCCCCAGCCCCAAGAGCTCCGGGATCTGAGAGGACAGTCCCAGGGTGAGGTGGGGGCGCTGCTGGGGTCGGCAGAGACACGGGTTCCATTCCCGCCCTGAGCCCCTCACCCTCCCACCACCATTCCCTCAGGCCTCGTGTCACCATCAGTAAAATGGGACCGTCTCCTCTGTATTTGCTTCCTGTGGCCGTCACTCACAAAAGTACCACGTATGGGGCAACTGAGAGGGGAGATGTCGAGTCTCCAGGTCTAGGAGCTGGAATCCAGAATCAGGGTACAGGCAGGGCGGGGCTCCCCCTGTGCTGGGAAGGGGAGACCTTCCTTGTCTCCCCCAGCTGCTGGCAGCGCCATCCTCACAGGTCTCCCTATGTGTCACGCCGCCTTCCTCTGCGCATGCTGCGTCCCAGTTCCCTTTTCATAAGGACCAGTCATTGGATCAGGGCCCTTGAACTTGATTTGAACTTGATTACCTCTGTCGAGACCCTACTTCCAAATGTCATGTTCTGAGGTCTGGGGTTAGGATGTCCACAGCTAATCCTGGCAAGACACAGGTCCACCCCCAACACCCTCTGCGAGGACTGACTGGGAACACACGCAGAGCTCTGAGCACAGTGCTTGGCTGGCGCTTTATAATGCTCCGTGAATTGTTGCCAAAAGCAAAAAGCTGAGCAACCTGGACATACAATGCTTGGTGTACATCATGTGCCAGGCACAGACTGGGCATGCATTATCCCTCTGATCCTAACAACTACCCCTGGTGGCAGGCAAGGTTTGCATTGAAATGATGAAGCTGGGACTCAGAGAGGTTAAGGCACTTGCCTGAAGTCACACAGCCCAAATGGCAGAGCTGAGGATGAACTCCAGGCCTATGAGACTCCACTACATCACACAGGGCAGGAGAGCACTATAGTGGGGAGTGGGAGCTGCTCAGAAGGGTAGAAAGGCAGGGAGGGAGTGCTGAGCACATAGCATGTGATCCCAGGGAGCCTCCTGGGTTAGAGGGGCAGGGAATGCTCTTGACGATGGTGAGTGGGTGGGCTGGATCACAGGCTGCCTGGTGAGGTGCTGGCAGGTGGCCAGGTACAGGGCCGCCATGTCTGAGTCACTCCACTGCGACCTAACCGGCCCAGCCGATACTCCAGGGCTGGGACCCGGCTGAGGAATGTTGCCCGGAGCATGGACACACTTCACTTCATTCTCAGTGCACACAGCTCTCCAGGAAGCCAAGAGGTGGTGCTTCCTTTAAGAAGCTTGAAAGTGCAGTTTAGTCAAAACTCAGGCTACTCTCTCTTCCTCTTGCTTTCTTTCCAAGGGTTCCCTACATCTGAAGCAAGTGATCTTAGGTTTTCTATGCTGGACCAGAAGTTCATTTATTCAGGTACTAACATATTGACTTACTCCAGCCTCTATCTATTCATTCATTTACTTATCCACTCATTCACCTAATGGTTCACTGATTCATTCATTCATTTACTCAAGTACTCATGCTCGCACATTCATGTACACAGCCATTCACTCTTCCACCTATCATCCATCCATCCATCCATCCATCATCCATGTAGCCATCATCCATCCATCACCCATCCATCAATCATCCATCCATCCATGCAACCTTTATTAAGCACCTACCGTGTTTTCCACACAAAGCTTCTCATGCCTCCCAAACTACTTTTTCACCCACTTTTACTGCTACTTCCACTTACATATTTGGAGGGAGGACTCTGCGCCAATGGGACCCCAGACACTTGGCCTCCTGGTGGTGTGGTTTCAGGATCTCCTCCTCAGGAAAGGCGTGGGAGAAGTGGACAGCCAGTCATCTGTACAGCCCCAGGCTGCACATGGGAGCAGTGATGGACACCTGAGACTCGGGCTCTAAAGGCCCCTGCCCATCGTTTGGTGCCAAGACTATGCATATTCCTGGGCGCTGTCGCTCTCGTGGGGCGACGTCCAGTTGTTGGGCTCCATTTCTTGCTCCCCCCAGGCCAGAGCAGACCACAGTGACTCGTGGCTTTGGGCCCCACCTAAGGAGCATCCTTGGGCTGCTCTCCTTAAAGGCAAGTATGCCGAGGGAAGGGCAGCAGGCGGTGGGTGGAGGGGTGGATCATGGCATTCTGTCCTGGCCAGAGAGTAAGGGGAGGAGCTCCTGGCCCATACAGATTTGGAGGAAGGACAGAAGCCAGGGAAGCCAGGAGGAATGTCCCTTCCTCATCCCTCCACATTCAGGGCTATAGGCCAGTTCCCAGGGGGGCTCTTCTGACCCCCATGGCTGGCCACTTGCGTTTCCTCCTCCCTTAGCATCCTTCCTTCCCCCACCCAAGCCCTGCCCTTTCTCACCCCCACCCCCAACACATTCCTGCCTGCTTGCTTTTCTGTTTCCTGGCAAAGTCCCCATCCCATTTCACAGAGGAGGAGACCAAGGCTGGGAGAAGGTGGGAGACCGCTCACAGTCCCGGACGGTGTGGCCACTTGGGGGAAGACCCCCTGGTCAGGGATGCTTTTCCTGTCGACAGTAGTCAGATCTTTTATTTATTTCAAAAAATTTTTTATGGATTTCCGAGAGAGAGAGAGAGAGAGAGAGAGATTATTTCAGAGAAGCAGGGAGAGGGGGAGAGAGATAGAAACATCAATGATGAGAGAGAATCATTGGTTGGCTGCTTCCTGCAAGCCCCACACTGGATATAGAGCTCGCAACCCGGGCTTGTGCCCTGACTGGGAATCAAACCCTGACCTCCTGATTCATAGGTCAACGCTCAACCACTGAGCCAAGCCAACCGGGCAGTCTGGTCTTTTATTAATGCAGTTTTACCTACAATGAAAGGTCTGTGGGTAATAAAAATGGCAGTATAAATTATAATTTATGGCTGTTTTTTAAAGGTGCCATTTCCACTTGACCATAGTGCAGGCAGGTGGGCAGGGCTCGGTGTGTGTGTGTGTGTGTGTGTGTGTGTGTGTGTGTGTGTGTGTGTGTGTGTTCCTGGCTGAGCCAGCCCCGCCTGGGAGGAGGTTGGACCTCTGCCCTGGTTAGGGGGTGTCTGGGAACTTGGCAAGCAGCCTCTCTCCTGCTCACATCACTGCCTGAGTCAGCCCCACAGCAGCGGCAGCGGCGGCAGCAGCAGCGCGGAGGCACCTGTGAGCTGTGAGGTGCCAGCTCATGGCAGAGCCTGCCCTTCTTCCCACCGCCCAGATGGGGAGGCTGGCCCCCGTGTCCCTGGCCTCACCGTGTCCCAGGATCCCACGGGCTCACATCGCCAGGCGGCCGGGGCGCTGTGCCCAACGCTGGACTGACCTGGGCTGCAGGTACAGGAATCACAGGAGGAGATGGGGGAGGTTTGGGCTACTGGTGTCTCAGGGCCAAGGCTGAGGAACGAGGGGACCAAGTTGAAGACCTACCATGTGCCGGGGGTGTAGGTCTTTCAGTTCTTACATCACCCTCTGAAGCAAGAATCCCTCTCCCTTCCTACAGATGAGGAAACGGATGCTCTGAGAGGTCTAGGAAATGGCCCAAGTGGTGGGGGTGTCCAGCTTGGTCCATGGGACCCCAAGCCCAGACCCTTCCTGGGACACAACACTGGCCTGGGCTCCTGCTGCTGGCTCCTGCAGGGGACACTGATTTTCGGGTTCTTAGAGATGTGAGTGATGCTCAATATGTGCTGTTTCCCCTTTTTCGAATGTAGAGAGCTTTAGGCACCCCAAGGGTTGTTTGGGGTTCAAGGTTCAGGATCTTAAGCTATGAGATCTCGGCTGGATGAGTGTGGCTGTGTGGTCACCTGGCTGACAGCTGTGTCACTCTTCCTGCTCAGGTACCTCTGACAGCCAGACCAGGATTTTTAAAAGTCATTTCTCCCCATGTGTGATTACAGCATATCACAAAATGAGTATTATAGAAATTCCAACAGTGTAGACAGAAATGTGCCTATTCCCCAGCACTGACTGCTGTTAAAGTTTTGGCATATACCTGGGAGAGCCTTTTGACGTACGTGAACCTATCCCTGTAGAGTTCTACACAAATGAGACCATGCCCACCCTTAATTTCTTAGTTCCTTGTAATCCCCAAGGCCATTAATATTGAATTCACTATAAGAGTACCTGACCCATTGAATGTGCTCAATACTTACTGGATGGATGAACAAATGAATTTTGTTGCATTCCCTTTGTTACTTTAAACAAAACAAGAAAAATAAGACTCTGACTTCCAGAACAGTAGTTTTTCAAACTCCAGAGTTCTGTCAATCTTTTATTTGAATTCGATCTTTATTATGCTTTTGAGTATTGAAAAACTGGTAATGGCATCACACATGTCATGTGTTATATCTCAACTATTTTTTGCCTATCAAAATTATATAGGTTGCGTGATCCGTGAATGCTTTTGGTTGAACTTAAGAGTTTATAATAGTATTATTGTTCTCTATTTTGTTTATTGAAAAGAGATTCCCCTGGCAAAAAAAAAAAAAAAATGTGAACGCCACTTCCCTGAGACAGGCTGGTTCGTCTGCTCCAGGCCAGTCCTCAAAGTCACTAGGTCAGTTCTTCCTATACTCTGAGTTCATTCATCTCCCTGGTCACTCACTCACCTGAGAGTCATTTATTTACTCAACACCATAAGCTCCCAGATGTCAGACCATATCTGTTTTGTTCACTCGTGTATCTCCACAACCCAGTGCATTGTGGGTGCTCATGAAATGCTTGCTCAATGAATGAAATGCTCACTGCCTCTACATGAAGTCCCATGTTGGGCACGGGACATGAGGATGAATAAGATGCTCCCAGCCCTCGGGCTGCCACAGGCTGGTCCAGGAGGAAGACCTAGGACTGGTCCACTGCAATATGATGCACTAAATGCTGATGAGAAAGGTCTGAGCAGGGGTGACTAGAGTTGGTGTTGTCATCAAATAGAACTTCCCACAAAGTGAGTGGGACATAGGCTCTCTATGTAACTATGAATGAACAAATGAATTTTGTTGCATTTCTTTTGTTACTTTAAACAAAACAAGCAAAAATAACACTTTGACTTCCAGAACAGCAGTCTTATTTTTCAATTATCGTTCACATACAATAGAATCAATCAACGTTGCCCTTGGGAGGAGTCTTAATGACTCTGTAGGGCTTCCATCAACCTCACTCCTAAATAGAAATATATTTTCTGTTTACTCATGATTGCTATAAAAATGCAAAAAATAGCAAGTGAAATCCACTTCCCCCGCCACTGCCAACCCACAAGAATAGCAATTGTGAACAGTTCAGTATAAATCCTATGAGATTTTATGCTTCATAAATATGTATTTATATCTGTATGTGGAAAACATATGCTCTAATCCATGTGTAGAACACATATACTTGTAGCATTTTGTATTTAATCTCCATGTGATACTTTTTCATGGTATAGAGATCTACATTGTTCTCTGTAAAGGCTGCATGCTTTTCCATTTTATGACTGAGCCCTGCTTTTGTTAACTAGCCTCCTGGGATGGACTTTTGGTTGTTTCCTTGTCTTTGGGAGTGGGCTGCTATCTGTATAAATTATACTGCACTGTCTTGGACACATGTCTCTGAGCACTTATGATAAATTCCCATTAAGAATCTTTGAGTCCAAAGGCATATGCTTTTACTTTGGAACATATCGCCAAATGGTTTCCCAGGAAGGTTGTATCCAGTCACAGACTCGCCTACTGGGCGCCAGCTTTTGTTTACTTATATTCTTGACATTCTTGCCAGGACAGTTTGGCTCCTGTTAGTCTTTGCCAGTTGCATCTTGTTCTAACTCACCTTTCTTTTCTTCCTGGGGTGGTTGGCCGTCTTTCACATGCTGAGTGTCTGAGAGATCAGGGAGGCGGGGAGGCCCATAGGTAGTCTAGTGCAACCATCACATTCCCTTAACAATTGGTTAAGTGACTTGGCCGACTGCACACAGGGAGTTTGAAATAAGTCACTTTTACAAATTTAACATATTTTACTTATGTGTAGCCATCACAGTTAATGTCAACCTATCTCTGTAGATATCATGTACCTTTAAATCTCCAAATACCCCCCTGTATGGACCTCAAGCCCTGAATGGATCACCCACACACAATTTAACTGTATCAGGGGTATAGGACAGACTGCGTCTCAAAGCCCAGCCTCACCACTTAGCAGCTGTGGGATTCTGGGGCAGTTACCTGACCTCTCTGAGCCTCAGTTTCCTTTTCTGCAAGATGGTTGCAAATGACAGTTCCTACCTCCTAGAGGGAAAAATGAAACGAGTGCTTGCAAAGATAGCGCAGTGCAGGTATGGGGAGTGCGCACTGCGCGCCAGGCATTACCGCCCAAGGGGAAGATTTGGGAGCTGACACCAACAGCACAGGTTTGTTGCCGGGTGATCACGTGAACTCAGGCCTCCTGAGGCCTCGGGATGGTAGAAAGGTCTGCATTTGAGCCCCAAGTCACTTTCACTTACCGCGCCTCTCTGAACCTGTTCCTTTATTTGCAAAAAAAGTTTTGTTTTTTTTTTACTTTACATTGTTTTTTATTTTTCCATTACAGTTGACATACAATATTATGTTAGTTTAGGATACAACATAATGATTAGATATTTATATAACTTATGAAGTGATCACCCTGATACATCTAGTGCCCATCTGACACCATACTACATAGTTATTACAATATTATTGACTATACTGGAGGCCTGGTGCATGAAATTTGTGCACGCAGGGGGTGGGAGTGTCCCTCAGCCTGGATTGTGAGAGGGCACAGGCCAGGCTGAGGGACCCCCCTGGTCATTAGCTTCAGGTGTACAACCCAGTCATTCTAATCATAGTCACGGTCAAGTCCTCTGGGATCTCCACTGCAGAACTGCCACCTGGGTGCTGCCCTGCCGGAAAAGCCTTTGCAGGCAAATTCTCTCAGGAGGAACCGGCCCTTTCGCCTGCACGCCCCAAAGGGCAGGTCTCTTCTGACAGGGCTTCCTGTTTCCTTTCTGGCCGCCCTGCTGAGCCAAAGGAGAAGGCTCTAATTACACAGAGGGTTAGGCTGCCCCCTTCAGGCCCTGGGCTTCTCCACCTCTCCAGCTGCCACCCCCACCCCACCCGCTCCGTTCCCAGGTATTGCTGGACACCACCCAGCTTGGCCGGCTGATGCCCACAGCATGTGAGAATTTCATTTCCTTGCTATTTGCCAACCCCGGGTGTTAGCAATCTGATGTTTGCCAATCTGATGGGCAAAAACATTTCACTGTTTTAATTTGCATTTCCACAATGACTTGTGGAGTTCAACATCTTTCCATATTGAGCATTTTTGTATTTTATCTTCAGTGACTGTTGATTCATATCTGCTGTTTCCCTTTCTATTGGATTTTGGGGGAGTATTTTTTTTTCCTTACTAATTTCTAGGAGCTCTTTATATAGACTAGATAGTAACACTATTTGTTGGGAATATTTTCTCTCAGCTGATCACTGGTCTTATTAATCTGTCTATGATGTGTTTGCTATACAGACGTGTTAAATTTTGATGGAATCAAACCCCAGGCATTTTTCAGTGATAGCTTTTGGCTTTTATTTTGCTTGGGGGGATGATTCCCTTCACCCCTCATTTCTCCTGGGCTTCATTCTCATCAAACCCCAATGCAGGCTCCTATCCATCAAGGGAAATTCTTTTGTACTTGCCACCATCATGACCTGCTCCCCTTCCTGTAGGGGAGCTTTGCAATCTCCCTTCCTCTCTGATGTTCCTTAAAAGCTGGGTTCCAACATCGCCTCCTCCAGGGAGCCTGCTCTGCTCAACCCCATCCCACCCTGGTCACTGCTCTGTCTGTTGGGCTGTTGCCCTCATAATTGCTTGGGACACAGTGTTGCTTTTAAGTATCTGATAGGGCACTTACTATGGGGCAAATGTTTTGCATGCATTGCATCCTCACAACCTTGTATATACAATTATCGTCACCAGCACTCCCATTCTGTAGGGTGGGGAGGGAAGGCTAAGATACTTTCCCAGGCTCACACATCCAGAAGACAGACGCAGACCCGCACAGTCTGACGCCAGGGCCTGGGCCCTTGGCCACTGTGCCAAATGTCTTGTATTGCTGCCCTAATTTAGGGTCTTAAGCAATCCAAATGTATTCCCTCAGAGTTCTGCAGGCCCGAAGGTCAGCATGGGCCTCCCCGGGCTAAAAGCGAGGTGTTAGCGGGATTGTGGTTCTTTCTGGAGAACCTGGGGAGAGCCCGCTGTGCCGCTTCCAGAGGCCCCCTTCCAGCCTCAAAGCCAGCAGTGGCGAGGTGAGCCCTCCTCACGCTGCCTTCTCTCTGGTCTCCACTCTTCTGCCTCCCTCTCCCCCATTTAAGGGCCCTTGTGATTTCACTGGGCCCACCAGCTAGTCCAGGATGACCTCCCCATCTCAAGATCAGTTGATCAGCAACCATAATCCCTCCTGCAACCTTAACCCACCTCCCCTCATGTAACATAACAGCCACAAATTCCAGGGATTAGTACCTGAGCATCTTTTTTGGGGGGACTCGGGGTGAGGGGTTGGGGCAGGGCAGATTCTGCCTACCACAGCCGCGTTTCCATGCTGTTTCTCCAAACCGTCAACTGCCTCTACTCCGGCCTCATCCTGCCTCACCCCCTCAGAAGCTGCGGGTTAGATGGGTGACTCAGAATCACCCAGAAGGCTTGTTTAAACCCCGCCTGCTGTGCCCACTCCCAGTTTCTCATTCAGTAGTTCTCGGGCAAGGACTGAGAATTTGCAGAATGGGTCCACAGATCCAGGTTTTCCAGCAACCGAATCAAGCACCCAGTATTGAATGGAAATTAGTTAAAATGAAATAAAGTGAAAAACTCAGCTCCTCAGTCATACTGACCACATTCCAAGTGCTCAGCAGCCACAGGGACTAGTGGCAGCTGTCCAGGCCAACACCATATGTACATCTGACTAAGTGACTCAGCCAGAAGCCCGTTTGGAGGGGCCACCACCACTCAGCTTCAGCCAGTTGTCACTTAGGGACAAGGGCCCAGGATTATCATCTCTTTTGATTTTGTTGTGGTGGAGAGCATTGGAATTAGCGGGTTTTAAAATGTGAGACTTCCTCGTGTCCAAATGATGGCAAGCTATTTGAAATGTGTTAAACTTCAGTGGGGTGGCCTCTCTGCTACTCCACACAGGGATTGGCTGGTCCTGATCTTCCGGTCGGGTACATTCGTCATCTCAGAGGTCATGGGCAGAACCTTAATCTCCTTCAGTCATCTCAGAAATGCAGGGTGCCCCTCCCAGAAGTGCCAGGTGAGAATTTCGATGCAATCCATCCATTCCCTCCCCACTCCTGAGAACTCCTCTGCAGGTCTCTGAACCAAGCCATGTACCGAAGCTCCCCACAGTGCCTCCCAGCCTGGCTGCCCAATGCGGTTGGCTGGGCAGCTCCAAGCAATGCCGGTGCCCAGCTCCCATTTCCGGTGCTTTTGCTGCCCTTGGTCTGGGGCATTGCCTGGGCCCTGGGAGTTTGAAAAGCAGCTGGGTGGTGCAGGTGCACACTCAGGGTTGAGACTCACTGGCCTGTGGGCCTGGTCTCCACACCTGGAATGCAGCTCCTCGGCTCAGCAGGGCTCACTCATCTCTGGCTCTCGCCCACCTGGCCCAGCTGCAGGGAGCACCCACGCCCGTGTCTTCCTCCGTCTCCTGGCCCAGCCCCAGGTCTGAGTCAGGAAGCTAGCTTGTACACAGCATATGTCAAAGTGTGTTTACTGTTGTGGTCCAGAACACAAATAGTCACACTCAAAAGTTCTGTGACCCAGAGTCCAGCTCTAGTGCAATTATGTGGAAGAAATGCGGTGAGCGTCGCTGAACAATTCAGGAATGAGCACGCCCCCTGAATGAGCCAGTCCGTCTGGTGGTGTCTTATGGAGATTTTAGAAACTCAGTTAAGATGATACTGAAAAGTGTAAACACAGAGTTTGCCTTTCATATCTCATTTGTGCCCAGCCCCATGGGATAGCTTCACAGGTGGCAGGGTTGCTGTGTACTGACGCTCAGATTGTGCGCGGCACAGGCTGTTACATCCAAAGGGGCACCATCGCCCATCAAAATTGAAACAAAAAAAGTGGGCTGTTTGTGAAGCTCAGAACAGATTTTGTGGATGTGCTGAGGCCCATTCTCTGACTAAATGGGGGTCTCGTGGCCACACTGCAAAATGTGGGCTTGGAACAATGATGCCTTTAGAACTGTCGGGGTTTTATTTCCTTTCTGGTCTTTCCTGCGCCCCCACCTGATCTCCTCAGAAAATTCACCCAAGGTGGCGATTGCCCTCCTCTCACTGCTTGGCTCTGAGAGCGGTGACACAGTTGATCACTTTTGTTTTGGTTTACTCACTCTTTTTATTGCTGTGTCACAAAAGCACGCAGATGCTGGTAACTTCCAAGCAAATGACAAAGCCACCAAGGAAGCCGAGCTGTGCACCAGCAGGGGGCAACCACACTCGCAGGAGGCGTGCTGATAAGCAGTTTCCCCAAAAGCATAAATAGAGCGGAACAGCCAACTACATAATGAACGGGGAACCGGTCTCCAGTTCAGCTTCTGCTGGTGGCGATGGTCAAGCTGCTGCCGCGGACAGGCTGTGTGCCCGGCCTCCTCCTCTGGGCTCTTGGCAGGCTCGAGATTTCTTTGCTTGACCACATCGGCGTCTGTTTGGGGACGGAAGTGTTTATAATTTGGAGTCGAGCCCAGTCTGTGGGCAGGACACTGGGGAAGAGGCACATGGGTGCATGGGTGAGGTGCTGGCGGGACAGGCCACCTGCAAAATGAAACGGGGCCTTTGTTCAAAAATTATCACGCATTTCGACATGGTGATAGCAGAGCACTAACCACGCCGGAGGCCTCCTGGGCAGGACTGCGCAGCCCCACATCCATGCCACTGGCCTTGGTACTAACCCACCTCCAGAAGTTGGGGGGACATCTATGGATGGGGTCTCCAGCTGTGGGAAAAACACAGCCTCAGGGACCCAGGACACAGAACCCCACAAGACAAAGACCAGGTAGGCAGCAGGAGCAAAATTAGCTCCCTGTCCTCGGCCACAAACAAAAACAACCAAATAGCTCCAATGGAACAATCCTTTTTGGAAGACGATTTGGCAAAAACCCTTTGGCTCAGCAATCCCGCTTCTGGCACTCGCTCTTCCACGGTCACCTCTGCACAGAGGGCCATGGCAGTAAACACGGGGATGCTTGTCGCAGGGTCACTTGTGATACAAATGAAAACACGCAAGCGCCGGTCACAGGGGGTGGGTGAGAACACCGCCGCACACCGGAGGAGGGTGCTTCGGCAACATGCCCTGGGTGGGGGACCCCCAGGGCCCAGTGGTAACACTTCTTTCTATTGCTGTGTGTGGCACCCACTCTGGCCGAAGCCTGGGTCCCCCTGTGTGACTGCTCACTCCTTGAGGAGACTGACTGTAAGCCGGGTCTGGAGCAAGCTGTCTGTACCTCAGGATCCCCACCAAAGTCCCAGGTGCTTCCGTCTGCGGAATAATTCCCGTGGCTGGAGGAATGCGCAAAACGGTGCTTTTGTTTTTAACTAACAGCTCTATTGATAAGAAAATGATGCCCCAGACAATTGACCCATATCAAGTGTACAGTCCAACGGTTTTTTGGATACTCACAGAGTTGCGCAACCATCATCACAATCAATCTTAGAACATGTTCGTCACCCCCAAGAAATGCCATCCCCAGGAGCAGGCACTCACACAATGGCTCTTAATCCAAACCGGCCTGGACCTGTTTCTGTGACGAGGCTGGGGTGGGGTCATGCCTGCTACACAGAGCGGGGTGAGTGGGAAGGAGGCTGGGAAGGCAGCCACCGTGGTCACCGCCCCTGTGCTCCACCCCCCGGGCTCGGGCTCCTGGTGACGTCCCTTTCCCACCCCTTGCCCAACAACGCTGACGACCTCCTGCATGTGCCTGGCTTTCAGAGACGCTTTCCCTCTCTCACCAAGCCTCATTTTTTAAAAATATATTTTTATTGATTTCAGAGAGGAAGGGAGAGGGAGAGAGAGATAGAAACATCAGTGATAAGAGAGAATCATCCATCAGCTGCCTCCTGCATGTCCCCTACTAGGGATCGAGCCAGCAACCCAGGCATGTGCCCTGATGGAATGGAACCATGACCTCCTGGTTCATGAGTCATTACTCAACCACTGAGCCACGCCCGCTGGGCCCTAGTCTCATTTTAAGACCATCTCGAGTGCAGCAATCATGGGCCAGATCGGCCGTAGAAGGGATGTGTGGCTGGGACTGGGGAAGCCCAGCCTTAGTAGAGGGGACAAATTATGCAAAGACATGGAGGTCTGAGAGAGACTGGGAACTTGCAAACTTGCAACTGGAAAATCAGTTCCTGTGGGGAAATGGCCAACGCTGAGGCCCATGTGTGTCCGCCAACCTCACACTTCTGGCAGTTCTTTCCTTACTTACAGTTTCTGTGACGAGGCTGGGATGGGTCAGGTTGAGGCTGGCATAGATTCTTTGTGGATTTTCTCTTTACCTCCCTTAGAACGAATTCTTAATCTGGAAGTGATATTGATATGTTTGTCCTTTTTGTTAGCACTTACCCAATATTTGGTCCATCTTGTTTTTGTTTTGTTTTTTACTTTTAATTTTTGCTCCTTTGCATTCTGTGAACTGGCACTTTGGTCTGCTCAGATCTGGCTGGAGAGCAGGGGACGAGGGGGTCACATGTTAGAGACAGGAAAACCAGGGCTGTGGGAGTCAGACACACAGATAAGGGGGTGCGGGTGGGAGGGGATAACTGCCATTTTGGGTAGAAATTCAGGTGCTGCACTGTCATTTCCTCTCGTGTCCTGGTGTTTAACTCCCTCTCATCAATGTTCACTCTACCCTGTGCGGGTCCAGGATTGCTTGCCTTGCCCAGGAAGGGGGGACGAAGCGGTGCTGCCTGGCCTTTCTCCACCCTCTGGGCATCATCTGTGTCCATGCAATTCTCAGGGACGATGGGTAATGTGGACAGTTTGCGATCCTGGCCGTGTGTCTGTCCCCGCTGGGAAGTTTGCTCAGGAAGCTCGCCCAGCTCCCAGGAGCTGCAGGCAGGTTTCTGGAGAACCTCCAAGCCCTGGACAGACCCCATCGTGAGCGGGGCTCTGCCTGACTTGTCTCCTCCCTCTCGCCTGCTGCAGCTCTGGCCCCTCGTCAGGCCCAGTGAGTCAGCTCCCGCAGAAGAACCCGCTGCAAGCATGCCCTGCCGAGCGCTCCCACTGCCGGGTGTCCTCGGCGGAGAGCTTGTCCCTGGATGGCTTTTGGATGGAGGTGGAGCGGATCCAGCAGAGGGATGAGCTGAGAGAAGAGGATGGCTGCGGGGGCGAAGGCCGGCCCCCAGAGGGTGAGGAGTGCTGGCAGGGGCTGCTGGGCAGAGGGAGGCCCCTGTGTCAGGGGAGACATGTGCAAGCTCCAGGCACAGACCATAAGTGCCAGGGCTTTATCTCTCTCGGGCTGTTGCAGTAGCTTTGTCCCTGGTCTCCCTGCTCCCCCCTCGCTCCCTTGTCATCCTAAATGAAATGACGCCCCTCCTTAGATTAGGTCACTCAGCACACGAGTACAATTGCCCCTTTCTTGCCAGGCACTGTTTTAGGCACCAGGGATACAACCGTGAGCACAAAACAGTCTCCCTGTGGAGCTAACGTTTGAGTGGAATCCTAAATCCTTTGCTCACCATCCCACAGGTGTCCCCACCTCTGTCAGCGTGTCTGTTATCCACACTGCACAATCGGCCGCTGCAAACTGAGCCATGTAAAGCAACTCTCATCATCATTCTCACAGCGTCACGGTTCTAGGGGTCGGCAGGGCTCCGCTAGGCGGTCCTCACTCCGGGGATCCCGCGGAACTACAATCAGAGGGTGGCCAGGGCTGGAGTTGTCTCAAAGGATTTCTCACTTCTGAGTCTGGTGGTGGCTGTGACGTCAGCGGGGCCTCATCTAGGACTGTAATGCCTACTGTTTGCTTCTGTGTGGGCCTGGGCTTCCTTACAGCTAAGCAACTGGGTCCCAAGAGCGGAAGGAGAGAGAGAGACAGAGAGAGACAGTGAGAGAGAAGAGGCAGAAGCCGGCTCGCCGTTCATGACCCGGCTTTGGAAGGCAGGCAGAGGCACTTCTGCTACACCCCGTTTTCCTGCGCCCAGCCCATATCCCAGGGGAGGGAATTAGACCCACCTCTTAATGGGGTGTGTGTCAAAGAATTTGGGGACATGCAAAACCTACACATCACAGGTTACAAGGCTTTACAAAGTCAGCCCCAGGCCCCTCTGCCTCATGCCCACCCACCGCCTTCCTATGTCTCCACTTCTGCCTCCACTCAGGCATCCTTGCTTCCGTGACCAGGAAAGCACACTCGAGCCTCTGAGCCTTCATCCTCACTGTTCCCTCTGCCTGCGGCGCCCTTCCCTCAGGGATCTACCTGGTTTGTTCTCTCGAATCAGGACTGGGCTCAAATGTCACCTCCTTGGAAATCTTGACTTCCTTAAGTAAAGCAGGAACCTTATTTATCGCCTGACTTGGCACAGTGTGTTTATTTGTGCTTTGTCTGTGTCCCCCAGTAGAATGTAAGCTCCAAGAGGTCTGGGCCATTGCCCATCACTGCTATACCCTCAGTGGGTATAGGGTATGAATGAGGGAATGATAGGGCATGGGCACAGAAACCTGGATTTGGCCTATGAGTCAGCTGTGCTAGCCTATGGTGTACAGCATGTGTGGTCATGGGGGAGACTCAGATCTCCTGGGAACCTTCAGGAAACACTGGTGTTTGGAAGAGATCCTGTGGTGAGAGGAGAGAAGCGGGTCCTGGCATCACAGTGGGATCGGTGCCTTCACCAGCTGGCACAGGTCAGGGGAGGACCCACAACGTTGTGGCCGCCCTGGCAGCGTTTGTTTGGTTCCCAAGTGCATGGGGGATGCGGTGGGGAAATGTCTGTGCATGGCACAGCTCAGGCTGCCTGCCATGAAAGCACTTCTGATATTTTGAACCACCAGCACTTGGTTGACTAATTGGTCAAACTGGGCACCCCAGCAAGCAACTCGCACATGGGTACAGCTTCCTCTCCAAGTTCTCGTCCGTTTTCCCCATAAAAAGACGGAACTCACCAGTGTTTCCCAAGTGTGATCTGAAGACTCCATTGTATTAGAATCATCTGGGCGGGAAGGCAGGAAGGCGGAAGTTCAAATTCAGGTTCCCAGGTCCTGAGCCTGAATTCCTAGGGCAGAATCTCTGGAGGTGGGACCCAGGGACCTGCAGTCTCAACACCACCCCACAGTTTGGAAGAATGGTTTTGTTGTAAGACCATGACCGTTTCCTTACAAAGCACAGTTGAGGGGATTATTCCAACACAGATAAGGTCTTGAATAGAGTGAGACTTTCCAAGGGGACAGCAGCTGCTTGCCCGTGCTCTCCACGCTGGGCTCATGTGACCCTGTGGTGATCTCTGTCAGATTTGGGAGGAGGGGGTGAGTTGTTGGCTACATTCCAGAATCAGAACATGCAGGTGCCCCTCCTCAGCCTGCTGTGTCCAAGAGAATATGATTGTATAGGTTTAAATCCAGATACTGGTTAATGCCATCCATGCCCCCCAAATTCTCTGATAGTTTGTTAGGTCTTCTCCACACCACATTGAAGAGTGTGGTTGGTGTTAGTGGGTCTCGTGGTCAGATGTGTGGGTGTTTCTTGCACTCAGGTTGAGTGTGTGTTTCTGCATGTGACTCGGTGAGTGCGTGTGGCGGAGAGTGTAGCTGTGTGTGTTTATCTGGATGGTCTCCCTCTATTGGCAGAAGGAGAAACTGAATCCCAGTGGCTGCAGGACACAGGCCTGTCGGACCTCCTTGGTGGCCTGGGCTTGGACAGTCATCACCGGGGGCTCCTGTCCACCCTCACACAGACCCAGGTGGCCGCTGTGCGCCGCCGGCTGGACATCTACGCCCGCTCAGCACGACGACGCCCCAAGGCACCTGTTAGAGATGTCAGGGACATCTTTGGGGGCTTCAAGGCAGGGGTAAGTCAGCAGCACAGGCGTGACTGCAGGCCCTGTCTGCTGGGCCCATTCACACCCTCAGTGAAGCTGGTCCTGCTGCAAGGCTGTGCTGGCGGTGCCTGCAGGCCACTGTGTCCCCAGGTTGCAGGCAGGGCTGTCCGCTGTGTGTGCATTTCCTGTTGCCACCATGTGTGCTTGCCTGGGCCTGAAAGCTTAGGTTCTCTCTATATATAACTATTGTCAGGACAATTACAATATGTTTTTATCAGTTGTATATCCTGCCGACACTTGTAACCTGAGAGGTTATGGGCATTTTATTCTTTCTTTTGTACTTGCTGGAGTGGCATGACACGTGCTTAATGCAACAGGCATTGAAGGCAGAGAGCCCCATCCCCCACCCCCCATCCCGACACTCCTCTCAGCAGCCTGGGATCTGGGGCAAGATCTCTGCGCTTCAGCTGCTCCATCTGTGAAGACGGGGTCATGAATGGCTTCTATTTCCCAGGGTTGGGAAATAGAATTAATTGGAAATTGTCTGTAATTTGTTTAGGAAATGCCTTCAGAGAATGGGGATTCAGGTATGAAATGGACCCCGCTCAGTTCCGGGAGCCCTAAGTCTCCTCCAGGTAAGTGGCCTTCATTTTCCTGGGCCCTGGGAGTCCTCCAGGCTGCACAGGGCTGCTCTGTGAGGTAAGGAAGGTGCACACCTCCGAGCGTTTTTCTCCTCTTGCTGGTTCTGTGCCTTCCCTGCTCCAGGGCAGTAGGAAAAAACACCAAGGGACGAGGTTGGCTCTTGAGTGGGTTTTCCCATCAGACCCATGGACCTTAGCCTGGAAAATTACTTCCTGGGGCAATGGGCCTTAGCAGGAAACTACTTCCTGGGGCAATGGGCCTTAGCAGGAAATTACTTCCTGGGGCAATGGATCTGATCCCTAACGGTATTGATTTGGTCTTGGGGTTTTGATCCTGGGAAATCACTTCTTGGGGCAAAGGGCTTGAATCCTCAGCTTAAGAACTTGCTCCTGGGGTCACGAGCTCAGCCCCCTGGTATTATGCAGTCGCTACTGAGCAGGGCCGAAGCCTGAGAAATTGCTCCCTGGGCTCTGGGCAGGAGGCAGGGAGGCAGCAGGTGCTGACTGCCTCTCTGTCCTGTTTCCCCGCAGCAGCAGAGCCTGAGGGGCCGCAGGCACAGGCTGGGATGGAGCACGCCTTCCACATGGACTCCGCCTACTCGGAACAGGCCGCACTGCTCCTGCAGAGGGGCAGGCAGCCCCCGGGGGGCACCTGTGCCTGGAGCAAGGGGTCCCTGCCGGTGAGGATGCTGCCCATGGGGCTGGGCCAGGCCCCGCTGACCGTTCCTCTCTACTCCTTAGGGAAAGTGCAGTAGCCTCTACTGCAGTGTGAAGGTGCTTTCATTCACACAAATAGGATTTTTCTATTTACTTTGAAATAATTTTAGAGTCACAAGAAGTTGCAAAAATAGTTTCTTATGTAACCATGGTGTGTCCAAGTTTTTAAAGACTGACTTTCTATTTCTAAAGCATCATAGGTAATTTATGTTCAACTATCATATCTTCTATCCTTGATGATTTGATTTTCCCATTAAACTATGAATGATAATAATGAATAATGCCGAAGATACCACATATAGACCTTTTACCATAGACCGGGCATATACCAAGTACTATACATACATGATTTAATTTCATCTGTTATGTTCCTATTATGTTAATGGTAATTGTGGAAATACTTAAAAATAGTGATAGCTATAATAATTGAGGACTTACTTTGCCAGGCATTGTGTTTTATCACTTTATCAAATTTAATCTCCCCCCAAAACCCTGTGAAGTGGATACTGTTATTAGCCCCCCTTTACAGGTAAGAAAATTGACACACAGAAAGGTAAAATTATTTACTCAAACTCACAGGTAAAGTCAGGATTTGAACCCAGGAAGTTTGGCTCTATGCACCGTAGAGCAAGCACGGGCTGTCTGATAGCCATAACATTACAACCTACAACCACAGCACGCTTTCTTTCGCTTAGCATTCGAATGGGCACTGGGGCATAATCTGGTCAAGTCCTCCAGGCAAATACGAAGCACATTTGCCCCTCCGTCTTGCTGTTTTTCGACTTTACACCTATGGCAGTGGGCAAGAAGCCGGGAAGGCGCGGGCGGGTGAGGGTGTGGGGGTGGGGGGGATATCCCTGTAGATCCCCACTCTTGCCTCTAGATGGCGCGGTCGAGCATCATTTATTTTTCAATCAATAATGAGGAATAGGAGCATTGGGTTGGGGTATGGCAGAGCAAGGATAGGGATAGGTGGGGCGAGGAAGAGCAACAACGGATCAGAATAGAAGCAAAATAAGAGGCCCATGGGGGTGATCCCTCTCCTCCCGCCCTCAGGTTGGAATACAGGCAGTAAAGAGAGCTTCCCATTACTGTTATGTGCTTGGCACCCCGTATACCCCTTAGCCCATTTTACCCGCAAAAACTATGAGGTAAGCGCTGTTGTATGATTACAAATGGGGAATTAGAGGTTCACAATGTGAGGTGGAGGTCAGGTGGAGGTGGGACTTGAACCTGGGATGAAGCCCTGAGCCCCTGCGCTCATCCACTCTGCTCTTTCTCCCCCTAACCGCCTGGGGGTGGGATGGGATGGGGCAAGGCCTCAGCACACTTACCGGACATCTGGCTTGCTTGTCTCTGCTTCCCTCCCTAGAAGTTTTGGATCCCCAAGGGCAGACTTGGCCTGACGAGGATTGGAGACCTGTCCTCGCAGGACCTGAAGAAGATCGCCGCCCTGGCCCTCATCGAGCTGACTGCGCTCTGCGACGTCCTGGGCTTGGACCTGAAGAGGAGCAAGGCGGGGAAGCAGAAGGCAGCAGGTCAGCAGTCCAGCGCTTCAAAGCCCTGTGACTGACGTCCTGGCTTTCTCATTGAGCGAGTTGCGTGGGGAATCTTGCACCAGAATATGCTTAGCTGCTTTATTTCCTTCAGTTCTAGGTACTCGTTCTGCATCTGAAAACAGTTCCTGCTCACTGTAGGAAATTTGAGTAAAATCCAAAAAGGAAAAATATAATTCAGATGTAAGCACTGTTTGCTTTTAGAGTATCATCTTCCACCCCCACCCCATGTATATACACCCTTTTTTCACTTTATAGTATAGAATTATGGACATTTCTGAGTTTTCGTCTCATTCAGCTATTGCCACAATAGTGCTATATAACAGGCAACCTCAAAACTCATGACTTAAATCAATAATTGTTACTCTTGCTCAGATGTTGGTGGGTGTCCCCAGATTGGGCTCGTTGATGCACATTCAACTTTGAATGCATCTTCGATTGTTTTAGAATATACTGGTGAAGTTCTGGGTATATATTACCCTTCAGTAGTGTATGAGACTGTTCATCTCACTGCATCATTGTCAATATGACGCATTGCAATTTTTTGTTTGTTTCTTGATAAAGACAAGAGGATAATGGATGGGTAGGCCAGGAGAAGGGGTTTAGTAGAGAAAGGGGTAGGCAAGTGAATGAGAAGGAATAACATTACCGAGTAGACTTGGAAAGATGAGTTTATCTGAGAAGCCTGCAAGGCAGGATGGTTGAGAAGACCTGGGAAGTACATTTCACTGGAACTTGGTCCATCTCTGCTGAGCAAAATCCTCTACCCCAGACCATTGTTACACTTGGCACCCAGTGCTCCCCGGGCAGCAGCACCTTTTCTTTCAACTCCTCTTACCCAGCCGAGACGTTCTGCTCTGTGATGCATCTAACGTTCTCATCATTGCTGAGGCCTTGTGCTCGGCTTGAGAGCAGGGTGAGCTCAGCCACCCTCCAGAGCTCAGGCCTCGCACAGGGAAAGGAGTCTGATTCTAGTCGCCGCGGAGATGTTGCAGGCTGGAGCCCAGCTGTCATTAAACACCCCTTCTCTCTTTGGATTTCCCGCAGAAACTCGCCTTTTTGGGGTGCCCCTCGAAGCCCTGCTGGAAGCTGACCGCAAAGCCCTCCCCAGCACCCAGGTGCCACTGGTACTTCAAGCTGTAAGTTGTCCCCAGATTGGGCTCAGTTAGCCTGCCAGAGGTTGGCCCTCGACACCCTGATGGCTGGCATGGGAGATACGATGTGGGCTTCAGCATCAGGAGACCTGGGTTCCGATTCTGGCTCTGACACATGCTAGCTGACACTTGGGCCGATTTTTGGGCCTCTCTGAGCCTGCCTTCCAGTGTTTGTGAAGTGGGGTTAGAATAGCAGTATTCTCTTTTTAGAGATTGAATGAGAAAAATGCATATTTAGGGAAAAAAGCTCACAGAACAATGCTTGGCTCGTGGAAGTAGCCAAGAAAGCCATTCTTTGCCTCTCTTTGCCTTGTTTTTTGGGGAGACAAACACATCAGTTTGAATCCCACTTTTCAGTGGTTGCTGTTTTAAATGGTGGTTTCTTTTTCTCACAGCTGCTATCCTGTTTGGAAAAGAGGGGGCTGGAAATGGAAGGCATTCTCAGAGTGCCTGGATCGCAGGCCAGAGTCAAGGTAATGGCTTGGCTTCCTCCACCTCGCTGAAGTTGCATCTCCCAGCATCCTCACGTGTGCCTTAATCCTGAAGAGAATCCAGTTCACGGCCTGTTGGTCTCTGTTTGGGTCTGGAATTCAAGAGGATTTGAAAGGCTAGAGGTGGCACAATATAGCATAGGCTTGAGACTGTCGACATTTGGTGAGTGACCTACACACATTAGGCCATTTAATCCTCACAAAACTCCTATGAGAAGAGTGCTATTATTGTCCCCATTTTGCAGATGAGGAAACTGAGGCCCAGAGAAGTGGTGGAGCAACTTTTCCTGGAGCCTTGAGCCACCTTCTCATTAGTGCCCCTCTTTTCTTCAGGGGCTGGAACAAAAGCTGGAGAGAGATTTCTACACTGGCCTGTTTAGCTGGGACGAGGTTCACCACAATGATGCATCCGATTTGCTCAAAAGGTTTATCCGGGAGCTGCCGGCACCTCTGCTCACCGCTGAGTACCTGCCGGCCTTCGCCGTGGTGCCCAGTGAGTGTCCCAGCCCTTTGCATTTGGGAGAAGAGCTTTTGATGGCCTGGGAGGGAAGGTGGTGGGAAGATGGCACTACCTGATCCCTGCCTGATGGGAGAGGAAGGGCATGTGTGTGTGTGCATGTGTATTGTGTGTATGTGCATGTATGTGTATGTTGTCTGTGAATGTGCGTGAGTGTGCGTGTACAGTGTGACAAGGCGAACCAATTGCATTTCTGACCCTGGGATATACCTCTCAGGCTGCATGTCTGGGCATGTGTATGTGCATGTGTATGTGTGTGTGCACATGCACATGTGTGTGTTATTTTTTATTCACACGGTATCGCGAGCCTCAAGACCAGCACTGGTTGGGGCTCTGTCTGAGCTAACACTAGCCCAGGAAACAGTTCTAGGCCTTATAAAGAAGGGTTTCCTGTCCTGGCTGGTGTGGCTCAGTTGGTTGAGTGTTGATTCATAAACCAAGAGGTCACTGGTTCGATTCCCAGTCAGGGTACATGCCCAGGTTGTGGGCTTGATCCCCAGTAGGGAGTTGTGGGAGGTAGCCAATCGATGTTTTTCTCTCATTATTGTTCCTATCTCTATCTCTCCCTCTCCCTTTCTTTCTCTCTCAAATCAATGTTTAAAAAAAACATTTTTTTTTAAAAGAAGGGTTTTTTGGAATCTCCCCTCCCCCAAGAAGGGGGCTTCAGACAGAGGCAGAGTCTCTGGCCTCACTGAGAGACTGAGACCAAGTCTGCCCTCTTCCCTCAGACATCCCTGACCTGAGGCAGCGCCTGCAGGCCCTCCACCTGCTCATCCTGATTCTCCCGGAACCCAACAGGAACGCCCTGAAGGTGAAAGCTACCTCCAGCTGCCTCCACTCTGTCATCTCAGCCCACAGCCATAGTAATGGCTCCAAGTGTGTCCGTTCATTCATTCATTCATTCAACAACTCTGCCAGGAGCTGGGGTGCAGTGATGACCAACAGTGATGGCCTCATCTTTCCTGAGACCTTTTCCCTAAAGAAAGGAGATGAGTCCTGAGAAGACATGGTGCTCACTGGAGTGTGCACTGCCCAACATCATTGTTGGTCTCAGGGAGAAGGCTCTCTGCCCAGATAAGATGGGTGGACACTGAGTCAGTGAAGTAAGGTTAGGATCATCCCTTCCTACAGGACTTCTCAGAGCCTTGATATGCCAAGGCTTTGCGAATCTCTGGGTGGGACTAAAGTGTGTAGCAGTTCCTGAGTCAGGTGTCCAGGGATCTCTTTTGTTATGGAAAGCGTTGCATTGCATGGTGTTCCATGGAGCACTAGTTTGGGAAATACTCACTTGGGGAACTCCCACTGTGTATTATGGGAGCGGGTATTCAGGACTGGGGGCTGGGGCTGGGGTGCAGCCCAGGCTTAGGTCCCAGCACCCTCCTGTCTGTCCTTGGGTCAAATCCAAGACATACCGCTAGGGTATGGCTGTGAGGAGACCCCAGGTCTACTGGAACCCTTGTCTGATGTGGACACAGGAGGCCCTAAAGGAGTATTTATAACCAGATAGACCTAGGCTCAAGTGACCATCACGCCTTGCGCCTCAGCTTTGTTGAAGAGACAGCCTCTTTGAATTTGTTTCCTTTTCAGTAAACGTAGGCTAATAATACCATCTGTGTGATTGTTTGTGGAACACAAGAGCTAATACAGAAGGAATCACAGAGTAGATGATATGGTACTTAGCAAGTGTTTAATACATTTCCTCCCTCCTCCTATCCTCCCTCCCCCCTCCCTTCCTTCCTTCCATCCACCCTCATCCACCATCCATCCATCCATCCATCCATCTTTCCATCCTTCTATCCTCCCTCCTTCTGTTCATCCTTAATGTCTATGTGGTCTTGGGCACATTCTCCAAGCCACAGTTTTCCTTCTCTGTATAATGGGTACAAATGGTAGAACCTTCTTTAGAGAGTTGTGGGAATTAAATGAGATGATAAATGCATGTACGGTGCTAGCTAAGGAACCAGGAACACAAAGAACACCTAATAAATGGCAGCTATTACCACCATCTCCCTTCCTTCCCATTGTCTCTGCTTCCCTGTTCTTTCCCTTGCCTTTTGGGCAGATTCAGACACCCCAGAACCAGATGAAGGAACTGTGTTGGGCTTGCCAGGAAAATACCCACTCCCCAGAGTGGTGGCTCTTTTCTGCCTGGAAGTTGAAGTTTGACCCGGATGTCTCATTAACCTCTGAGGGAGCAGGGAAGGGGGAAAGTTTAGGCCATGTTTTGCCAGAAACAGACAGAGAGGTCACAGAGTGTGCTGATGGCAAAGCTGAAACTAAAACCCCTATTCCAGCCCGTGGCTCCTTGCAAGGCCCCCAAGTAGCACAGCAGGATGTTCTGGGGAAGGTAGGGCACAGGAGGGGTGTGCTAAGATTTGAAGAAAGTTCTGTGCCCTTCTCCAGGCACTCCTGGAATTCCTCAGGAAGGTGGTGGCCCAGGAGCAGAGCAACAAGATGACACTGTGGAATGTTTCCACAGTAATGGCCCCTAATCTCTTCCTTCACCGAGGGCAGCCCCCCAAACTCCTCAAGGGCAGGGAGAAGCAGCTGGCAGAGGGGGCTGCTGAGGTGGTACAGATGATGGTGCACTACCAGGATCTGCTCTGGATGGTGAGTGCTGTGGGCTAACTGTGAGGGGAGGGGACACACTGTCCATCTGGGTAGTAGGCACAGGCCCTTTTTCTCCTCTGGGTACAGCTGCCCCATTGTCCCTGCCATCCATGACTGTGGGTACTGTCCTTTCAGATCCTAGTTGTGTCTCTTCTGGGACCTTTGTTGGCTCCTATGTATGACCTATGTCTTCTTTTTCCCCTGCCTTACTGTCCAAAAGGTGTCCACACTCCCACACCTCCCAGCCAATCTATGGCCATCTGGTCTACCCCAGGTTAAGGGTGTTCCCTGAGCTCCCACAAATATTCCTTCACTTCAAAGCTTTAATGATGTTGAAAAAGCCACCCTCACCCCTGTTCCGCCACAGGCTTATGGACACAGGGCCTGCCTAAGACAGAGGCCTGAGCCAGATAACCAAGACACCCCCTTTCCCTATGAGCCTTGCCCTGTATAACAATCCAAAGCAAGGACAAGGGGCAGGGGTAAGGAAAGAGGTCCCTCTGTGGTGTGGACATGCAAGACCTGCTGACAGTTGGGGGATGGAACAGAAACTCCAAGTCCCCTGCAGCACTTGAGACTCCCATGGATGCAAGATAGCACTGCCCAGCACTGCTGCTCAGGCCACTTCCCTTAGAAATGTGTAGCCTCTTCCTTCCATCTCTCCTTCCATTTAGTCACCCACCCAGCCATCCACCCATTCCCTCACTCACCAATCCAGCCAGCCAGCCATCCACCAACTCACTCACCCACCCACCAACCCATGCATCCATCCATGTGCCATTTAGCCATGCATCCATGCATCCATGCATGCATCCATCCATGCATCCATGCATCCATCCATCCATCCATCTATTTATCCATCCATTCATCCATCCACCCACTCACTCATCCACCAACCAATCCATGCATTCATCCATCCACCTACCCACCAATCGATCTATCCATGATCCTTTCTTCCTTCCCTCCCTCCCTTCCTTTCTTCCTTCCTTCTTCCTATTCTTCCCTCCACCCATAAAGTTATTAAGATAATTTTCAATTCCAGAAACCAGAAAGCAAAGCTCTCTGACTCTTCTCAGTTTCTCCCTCATCACACCCAGGTGCCCTTTGTGTTCTAAACACACCAAATGCCAGCCGGTTCTCCTCACTCATCCTGCACTTCACACCTCTGAGTTTTTACTTGTGCAGTTCACTCTGCTGAAATCCCCTTACTTTTTTAGAAAGGATGGAAACGGGTAACCTCTGCTTATTCTTTTTCTTTTTTTTGTTTTTCTTTTTATTGAATTTATTGGGGTGATACTTGTTAACAATATTATACTTCAGGTGTACAATTCCACAACACAATCTGTACACTGTATTGTATGTTCACCACCCCAAATCAAGTCTCCTTCCATCATCATTTATCCCCCCCCATACACTTCTCCAATTCCCCCTACCTGCCCCCCATAGCAATTAACACACTGTTGTCCATGTTCATGATGGAAAACCCCTGCCTCTCCCCCATATAGGCCTGTACCTACAGCCCATAGTTCCTGCCTTCTCTGTGCCCCTTCAGCTCTGAGGTCATGTGGCTACTAAAACACGTCTATATATATAAAAGGCTAATATGCAAAGTGTCTCCTCGGGAGTTTGACCAGATCAGTTCAATCACTCGCTATGATGTGTGCTGACCACCAGGGGGCGGCGTGGAACATGGCGGGTGACCAAAGGCAGCAGCGGGGCACTGAGGGAGTGAGGGAAGGAGGAGGCGGGGAGGTGGAGAATCTGATCAGCCCTGATTGCTGGCCAGGCTAGGGACCCTACCCATGCACGAATTTCATGCACTGGACCTCTAGTTTGATTATAACACTTTTTATTGAAGGGAGTTTTAAAAAGTCAAGAAACGCCTACATGCCTTCTTGCTGTAAAAGTTTTAGGCAACGTAGATGTAGGTACACAAAATGGGAGAATTCCCCTTCCTTCTTCCTCCATGTGTATCATCCTGTTCAGGCATCATAGAGCCAGTAAGCAGAGGGGCCCAGAATGGAACCAGACCTGTCAGACCCCAGAGCACATGCTCCTCATTCTCAGGGTCATGGAGACAGGATTCTCCTGACGCCCTCTGCCGGCTTCTGATTCCAGAGGAGTATGGGTCCCTGTGGGAATTTGCCAACGCAGGGCTGGCTGGGGGTTCTCCGAGCATTAGCCCAGTCCAGGTGTGCTTGGGGACATCCCTGCCTGAGTGTGCCCATGAGCAGCCATGCCACAACAGGTGTGGGAGCCTCCAGCCAAAGCCAAGGGTGGGCTCTCCGAGTACCTACTCCATGGCCCTCTTAGGGGCCAAATGGCCCCTCTCTTCCCGCCAAACTAGTGCTTCAGTTCCAAGTTCAACAAATATGTATTGGCAACTCCGTGTGCGGTGCTGGGACAAGGAAGATGCCACAGGGACTGGGGGGCTCTGCCTCTCGCCGGCAGCCCCGTGTTCCCGCTAAGACGCGATTCTCTCCGGCCAGGTCTCCTCTTTCTTGGTCGCCCAGGTGCGAAACCTGAACGACAGCAGTAGCAGGCGCCCCCAGCTCTGCGACGCGGCCCTCAAAACCTGGCTGCGAAGGACACACGCAGACAGGGACAAGGCGGGGGATGGCCCCGAGGCGGTGAGTGCCCGCTCACACCCCAACCCCAGATGCGGGGAGAAAGAGGCGGTGGGAAGGGCACCTAGCGCTCCCGCAACCTCCGGATATTCGCTGCCATTGCGCTTCTGGTTGCAGCCACCAGGGGTCGCGCCGGCCCCACCGCAGCGAGCGAGAAGCAGGTGTCTTAGAAACCAGGGAGATGACAGCGCTGAGGAGAGGGAAATGGCGTGGTGCAGGGACTAATAGAAGCTGTCTTCCTTGCCCCATTTTTAGGCAGCCCTTTGTGTGCCTGGCGGAGGGTTGGGAAAGTGGGAGTCGCTTTGCGGGGTGTGGGGTGATTTGGACCAGGAAGGGAAGGGCTTTCCAAGAATATTGAGTGCTCCTGGGAGGAAACCTGAACAGGTCCCTTATTAGAGTCCCAAACAGAGAAATTGACCTGTGTCGCGTTGTACATGATGTGCATGGGGGATGAGTATTTATATAAACCAATGTGCGTGTGTTCGTAGGTGCATTTCATGCCCTCCTGTTGTGTGTATCAGTATGAATGCATCTACACGCATGTTTCTGTGCCTGTGTTTGTGTATGCACACTGTAGGGGCGTCATGTATGTGGACAAGGTATGATCGGTGAGTAAGCGGCTGGTGTATATGTGTAGGTGAGCATCTTTTATTTTTAGTGTGGGTATTTGTGTAAGTGCACGTGTGTGCATATTTATGTGCACACATTTGAACTCCAGGTATGCATGTGTGTGCCCATGCCTATGGAGCTTTCTCTCTCTGCAGACTCCCACAGTGGCAAAGATCCAGGTGGCCTGGCTTATCAAAGATACCCTGGAGGTGCCCCTGACCCCCAGCACCAAAGTGGCTCATGTCCTCAGGCAGTTCACAGGGCGCCTCAGCCCTGGTTTACAGGGTCAAGAGGGCAATGAGGACAAGGACAGCCTCCTCCCACGGTAAGGGGCACCTCCCCAAGACAGGAGCCTCTCTCCGACAGGGAGCAGGGAGCAATTCTGAGGAGGGGTCCCCGCTCAGAGCCGAAGGCCAGCAGGGGAGTTGCACAGGCTGTTGACCTTTCCCTTTCCGGGGTGGTCAGAACTGGGTTCTCCAACCTTCTCAGAGAGCCTCTTGGCTTCAAATAAAGTGATAATAGCATTCATTTATTCCGTTTAACAGGTATTTCATGAATGCCTGCTATAGACCCTGTGGAATGCTAGAATCACAGTGAAAAGCGCAGTCAGGGGCCCTGGACTTACAAGTTCATAGCCCTGTGGAAGAGATAGACATGTGTCAAATAGCCACAAAGTCAAAATCAGGCAGTTCACAGGGCAGGTGACAAGCTGTATTCAGTTTTATAGGAAATACAGGGAACAATGTGAATGTAAGACAAGGCACTCGGTATAGTCTGGGGAATGAGGTAAGACTTCTAGACACAGAAAATTGCATGTGCAAAGGTCCTGAGGCAGCATGGCCAAAGAGCATATCAGAGGGGCTGATATGCAATTGTCATTCCAGGATGCAAGGAACAGCTTGAGCTCAGGTGCCTCCATAATGGACCGAGCAGTGTCAGTCATTAGCAAGTGTCTAGTCCAGTTCCTCCTTGTACAGATGGGAAAACTAAGGCCCAGAGACGGGAAGAGGCTTGCCCAGAGCCACAGGCAAATTGGGAACAGACTGTGGAATTAAATTCATATGGTAATTACATGATACTTACATGATAACTATAATTATTATACATAATCACACAATATTCACAACTCATTTTAACTCAGAATTTGCCCCTCATAGCAGGCTCCTGTCCCCACATGTCACTCCTCATCCCGCCACTCTCATAGCTTCCTTTCTGATACCCAGCAGGTAGGGGCCTTGTGGTAGGGGACCCATGACCAGCCCTCCCCGAGTGCCATCACCTGCCTCTTCCATGTCTCTGGAGCTGGGCTCCTTCATGGCTCCAGCTTTCTCAGGAAGGCTCTTATGCCTCATCTCCCAGCTGGAACCAAATATTAGTGAGGACGGCCCCTCCCAGGCCTGGGGTCTGGAAGCAGTTGCTGGTCCTGAGCCTCGAGCAGAAGAGGTCGGTGAGTCTCTCCTCTCTGTCTTGCAGCAGCAGGTTGAGGAAGTCAGCCGACATCGTCCTCTGCGAAGTTGGAGGGAATCTCAGTAAGTTCCCAGTGGGGTGTGGGTCTGAGCCCAGGCCCTTGCAGCTCTCCAACCATCAGGGCTCACTGGGCCCCTCTTGGGTTGAGCCTTTCCCTCAGGCCTCTGTCTTCCAGGAAACCAGGTAGAACCCTGCTGTGAGGTTAAAGGTCAGCTTGTGGCCACGCCTTAGGATTCCATCTTGGAGTTTGGAGTATGGCCTGGAGTGACCTCTGGCTTGGAGAGGGCAGGAGTTTTTGCCCAATGCCATGCTTTTCAGCACCACTGCTCTGGGCCTGTGGCCATGGATGCCTTAAGGCAGTGGTTCTCAACCTTCCTAATGCCGCAACCTTTTAATACAGTTCCTCAGGTTGTGGTGACCCCCAACCATAAAATTATTTTCGTTGCTACTTCATAACTGTAATTTTGCTACTGTTATGAATCCTAATGTAAATGTATTTTCATTGTTACAAATTGAACATTATTAAAGCATAGTGATTAATCACAAAAACAATATGTAATTATCTATGTGTTCTCCGATGGTCTGAGGCGACCCCTGTGAAAGAAGGGTCATTCAACCCCCAAAGGGATCGCGACCCACAGGTTGAGAACCGCTGCCTTAAGGAATTCTGCAAACACATATCCAGCTCTGAGGGGGCCCTGGCTCAGTGGGAACCAAGAAGGACAGCTGTCCTCAGCCGCTTCTTTAGAGCAGCGACTCTCAAACTTTAAGGGTGTGTCAGAATCACCGCAGGGCTGATAAGACTCAGGTGGCTGGGCCCTGAGAATCTGCATTGTAACAAGTTCCCAGGAGCTACTGATGCTGCGTTGAGAGCCACGAGGCTTTGGGAGTAGTCAAGCATTGAGGGGGTGCTCTCTAGGAAGAGCCTTGCAAAGGCGGGAAGGAGGAGAAGGGGTGAAGTCTAGCCTTGGCCACAAGGGGGCTCTGGAGCGCCAACTGCATCACGTAGAGGTAGGGAGGGTGGTCGTCCTACCTCTGTGTCAGTCATTGGCCACAATCCCGCCCCACCCCCAGGCATCTGATGTCAGCGGAGGGCAATTCTGAGCCAGGGGTAGCTGGGAGCCACAGCAGCCAAGGTTCACACAGGTGCGAGGGCGGAGCCGGGCCGGGGAGGAGCTTCGGGTGGGGCAGCAGCACCTTCCACCAACACCACCCCAACCTCCTTGTCCCTGCGTCCCACAGGTGAGCATCGCCTGGACCCAGACGCCTACCTCTTAGATCTGTATCGCGCCAACCCCTGTGGCGAGTGGGTCATCAAACAGAGCCCCACCTAAGCCGGGACGGGACGGAGCAGCCCTGGATGCCACAGCCCGCCCTGTGCGGTGTGGCCAGCGCGGGAGCAGAGCTGCTGAGGGGAGGTCTAGCTGCTCCTCCAGGCGTCTTCCCTGCAGCGCCCCTCAGTCCTGGAAGCGCTCTGGCTGGCCGGCTCCAGAGCCCTGGAGGGGATGCTTTCAAGTAGCCCTCTAGCGAATGGGGGGCAGCCCCTTGCACTCTCTGAGCCCCCTGGAAGGTTGAAGGGGGTTGGGCCTCAGGCAGTGCGGGGCTGACACTGTGGCCAAGAACAGCCCCTGGAGAACCGGAAAGAGAAAAACTGCCCTTCACAGCTCTCAGTGTAGCTTTGCACAAGCTTGTGGTTTTATAATATTTAAATTCTGTTGGAACATTAAAGGCACAAGTTAAATGTCACTTTTACTTTGTTCAAGTTTTTTTCTCCCCAGCCCTGCTCTCATGGGTGTTGTTCTGGCAGTAAGTTAACATGGGAGCTTAGGGAGGGGGATGCCTTGTTTCTCAACGTGGTCTGGCCACACCTTGAACCTGCAGCCACCTGGAGGGGCTGGAGGAGAACTCAGAAGGGGGAGGGATGGAGTCATGACAACAGTGTTGAAGGGGGGAGGGGGTGCTGCAGGGACAGCTTCTCTGAGAGCCTGTCTCCACCTGTTATCTGTTACGTCCCAGGTATCTCCTTTCCTCCTTTCCCCTGTTCTGGGTCTGTCTCCTCAGGGCAGATGAAGCCTCATTCACTCATTCATTCATTCAACAATGGATTTATTAATCCCTTAATATATGCCAAGAGCTTTACAAGTTTAATTTTCACAATAATCCAGTGTCTGTTGTGTTTCCCCAGAAGCAGACCCTGAGATAATGATGCAAGTACAAATAGTGATTCCCAGGAAACAAGGGAATGGGGAGATGAGATAGAGAAGTGGAGGCAGCCCATCAAAGAATGCATGACCAAGGAAGTTACCACTGTGGGCAAGCAGAGCTTAATTTTGCTGGAGAACTCCGAGGAACAACATAGAGGATATTGATCAGAGTTATTCCCACCCAAGGGGAGGAGTGGCGTATTTAATCATCAACTCCTGTGAGTCATTGGTTGAGGGCTCCTCCTGAGGAGGGTGGGCGTTTGTTCCCCGGCACTGTCAGCCTTCATGAGTGCAGGCATAGTGGGCTCCAGGAGCCAGAGAAAGCGCTCCGGTAAAGAGATACAGATGCTGACAATTAGAAGTTGGCCACTGTACACTGAAATAGTACTAGCTGACGCGGTACTAGTGGTGCATTCATAGAACCTGCTTGACGCTGTAAGGTGATGACCATGATGGTGGTGATGCTGATGGTGATGCTGCTGATGATGATAGTGATAGCAACGGTGATGTGGTGGTGATGATGATGACGGTCATTGTGGTGGTGGTAGTGCTGGTGGTGGTGGTGATGATGATGACGGTCATTGTGGTGGTGGTAGTGCTGGTGGTGGTGGTGATGATGATGATGGTCATTGTGGTGGTGGTGGTGGTGCTGGTGGTGGTGGTATGGTGGTGATGATATTGATGATGGTGATGCTGATGATAGCGATGATTATGGTGATGATGACGATAGTGATCAGGATGGTGTTGACAATGGTCCAAAATTTTAGTGTCTTCTATGCTTTCTTGTACTTTTGTCTCTCCCTTCTTGCCCTCTTAGCTATCCTCTGTAAAGTGGCCCTTTTTAAAACAAAGTTCAATTCTACTATAATTCAACCCTACAGAAAACCTTCCAGAGGGACCCCATACCACTTAAAATAGTGTCCTTACCCTGACCTATGAGGCCCATTTAATGTTTCTGATGCCCTTTCTCTCACACTGCCCCTCACTGTGCAGAGTCCGCCACCTGAGCTTCTTTCAATTCCTCAGACACCAAGTTC